GACCATCGAAGGAGCCGGGATGTGTCAAGCTTAAGACAAGACCGCCCGGTCATTTTTCAAGCCAGCGAGGGACCCAGGCTTGGGAGGAGCCAAAGACTCTAGCTTTGACTAGGGTTGGCAGTTGGTATACTATGGGCGGAGGCAGCAGCCGGGAAATGCAATACGAGAGGACTGACCCAGACACTTAAATCGGAAGAGAGGCAGGGGGAAAACCCTCTCTTTGGTGACTCAAGAAGCTGGTAAGTCGGGTATGAGCGGACGGTAGCCTCTTCGGCGTGGCAACCACGGCCCAGGTGCCTGTTCGGGTTGCGGATCCTGAAATGGTAGATCATTGAGGAAAGGCGTGCTATGGCCAAGGGATCGGGGAAGACGGATTCAGACTCGGTCTTGGCCGGCACCCCCGAAAGTAGGGACGAACTGGGGAAACGAGGTGGCAGTCTCTGTCGATGGGGGGGTGGCAACCACCCAAAGGGAGTACTGATTTTTGGATGGGTGGGTGGAGTTCCCGAGCGGGAAAAAGAGAGTTCTGGATAATTGTATCGGGAGAATAGGGAAAAAACATGACAGGACGAGAATGCGCGATGATTGAGAAACAGGCTAGATACGGGCACCTCGAACTGACGAAGGAGGCAAACAGACCGAAGAGAGTAATAGCCCGGGAAGAACCAAGAGCAAGATGCGCCAGCAAGGAGGCAGGTTACTTGAACTGTGGAAGAAGGTGAACGGCTAGCCAGGCGAGGGTGTGCCCAGGTCGGAAAACGGGCCGGATACGGGTTCTTCGAACCAGCAAGGAAGACGAACGGGCTATCCTAGCCAAGAAAAGAATCGAGTGGGAGGGGGACAGACGACCTGGTAAAGGACGGAGCGCACCCGGGCCAGGAAAAGAGCCAGGTGCGCCTTTACGAAGAAGGAATCAAGATACTGAACTGGTGTGCCAAGCCGGCGCATACTAAGACAAGGGGGGGAAGCGCCTCGAGGTTCTCCAGATCCAGGAGCGGAGAGAGACTCGTTGTGGGTTGGCAGAGGAAAGAGGGAGGTCGGATCACTGATGAGCGTGCAAACGACAGGCGGGGGATTACGAAAGTTTGGCGAAAATTCGGTGTAGTCGACGGGCGGGAGTCCAAAAATTTTGACAAAAAATTGGCAGCTGGCGGGAGAAGCTTAAAGAATGGTTTGATTGGAGGAAGAAAGAAAGGAGGGATCGAGCCAGGGGGAGAGCGTGGGGAACGGAAAAGTATATAAGAGAACGGAGAGAGGGAGAAGGGGGTGTGCCCGAAGAGAACCGGGCGCACGAAGAAAACCGGCGCACGAGGAGGACCGATGCACGGGAGTAGCAAGGGCGAACTTGAGCGATCGCTCGGGCGATAACGCTCGGTAGAGCTCAGTAGAGAGAGAAAGGGAGAGATAAGGGGGAGGTCGGAAGAAACGGCCAGAGGAAGGGGGATCGAAAGAAGAAGAACGGGGAAGGGGCCGAGAGGGAGAGAAAGAGTTGGCCCAGGGCGCCCGTACGCTACGCGCCCGGAGCGCTTCTTCGTCAAGGCTACTCCGCTCGTGGCGGTTCCCTCCACTCGAGTTACCTCGATCGGGGTGCTAAGTTGGGGCTACCTTCGTCGAGTCAAGGCCTAACACGGCTCGCTCTTCTTCATTAGCGACGCTTCGTTCGAGTAGTCGAGTTACCTCGGCTGGGCCGCTGGTTGATACGTCTCTGGTATCGCGTCAAGCCACCGCTGTCAATTTGAGGATTCGTGGAGAGAAGGGAGCGTGGAAACGAGAAAGGGAGAGAGAGAGAGAGGGCGAGCCCGGGCCGGGAAGAAGAAGAGGGGCCGCGGGCGCCCGGTGACGGAGATGCTAAGGACGGAGGACGACGCTTGATGGCGCAAACGTCTACACCACGCCCGTGTGGAGGCGGGGTACGAGAGACTACGGGGAAGAACAACATCAAGAACCGCTCATGAAGACAAACGGATTCGCGTTCGCGGGCTGAAGACAGACGGCCTCGTTAGTGTCCGTGGTGAGGTACCAACTTCTGTGTCTTTCGGGGAGGCCTTCGTCGCTAGCTAGAGGCCGCCTACTCGAGGGAGCCAGGGAAGGAGGGGGGCGAAGGAGAAAAGTAGACCGGACTGCGCGAGCATTGATGCTGCAAACGAAGGATGTCCTCCGCTCGCGGTAGGAATCGGCGCGAAGGAAGCAAGCTCCGCTTCGCGGCGCTTGTTGAATCAAGGTCTCGGGACTATCTAGTGGTAAGGCCGGAACGGACAACCGATAGATGTCGGGAGGTCGAATCAAGAGAGGGAGAGAGAGAGAGAGCGAGAGAGAGCGCAGGGTGTCCAAACCAGAGAGAGAGAGAGGGAGAGAGAGATAGAGATAGAGAGAGAGAGAGAGAGAGCACGTGCGAGAGTGTAAGAGAGAGAGAGAGAGAGAGAGAGAGAGAGAGAGAGAGAGAGAGAGAGAGAGAG